TTGGGCTTCCACATTTTTTTTTCTCATTTACAATGCATACCGTATCTGTCACAGTATCCCAGTCACTTTTCATCTATGAAAACTCATTGCTGAAGTCATATATAAGAGTTTTATAAGTAAAGCCTTGCACCTCTTAGGAAAAAATATAGAAACCGCTAGATATCCTCATATATTTAACCTCTTTCAAAGTCTGAAAAGTTTATACCTTTAATAGAACATTTTAAAGCATCCTTGCTGTGGAAAACAGCAATGACATGTAACCTGCATAGCTATAGAATTGCTGTTTTGAATATTAGAGGGTTTAGAACTGCTTCAGTGTGGTACAGGAATTTTAGTAGGATAGCTTTAAGGCTAATGCATTTTTTCTTCTAATATTTGACCAACATTAGACCTAAACTTTAAGGCCCACATTTTATCCTCAGCTACGGGCACAAAACTCCCAGTGGCTTCAGTGAGAACTGCATGTGCATATCGGACAGCAGTATTTGGCTCTGAATGTTAACTAAGATAGGATAGAATAGAATTTGGTTTTGTATAGCTCTTTTCATACTTGGTACAGCTCAAAGCTCTTCACAAAGAAATAAATGAGATACTGGTTGTGTGATGATAGCATAGGCAATTGGGACAGCCATTAGGTGCCCAGCAGTACCTCACATGCTGTCTGGGAAAGCAGAGACTGGGTCATTGAGAGAGACAATATTGGCTAGAAACACTGGAGTTATCCTCACTGACCCCATCCCTAAAAGTGCCATTGGATCTCTGGTTGTCTCCAGAACAGCCACCAACATCTTTCAGAAGTGATCTGAGTTTACCAAAACCATGGCCTTTTTTTTCCTCTTTCTTCTTTATTATTTTCTTCTTCATACGATTTGCTGTATCAGATGTGAAATGCAAAAAGCTTTCTCCTGCTCACTATTACAATATCAAATATACTAGTCTAGACAGGATACGTGTTTACTTTACAGGCATGTTCTATATAGCAGGCTCTATAAAGTCATTCTGATGAAATGCCTACCAGTCTCTAAATTAAAGAGGGTTTTCTGCAGGCTAATATAGGCCTCAATCCTGCAAAAGGCTCTCTACAAGTAGGCATGGGATTCATTTTGGGATCAGTGTCTTGTCTTTGGTGTGACTTTTCCAATATTGGTATGTTATTCAAATACAATATTCTGCTTCAAAGAAAAAGGCATTGGATTCATAGGAAATGCCTTAATACAGTCTGCCTAGATTGATGTTCCTGCCATTACTAATTTATAGTTTTAAAAGCTGCTGTCTTTTCAGTTGCTGTTTGTGCTGCCAAAGATGAAAGTTACATATGTCTATGATTTCCCCTCAAAAATACTTCTGTGCATAAGCATTATTGGGGAAACTGAATTGTTTTTTATCATTTGGAACATTTTGAATTTGTAACACTGGCATTAGGGTGTTCCTGAGAGTACTTCTAAAAGGATGTATTCCATATTTCCAGCATGTAGAGGAGGAATACCATCTGGGTCTACTAAATGTTACTGGTCAACAAGGCCAGGTACAGACATTACCCTTTTGTTGGTATAAGCGATTAGAAACCAGAACAGAAGTTTGGCACAGATAGACTGGTTTAACAATGGTGAAACCCATTCTAAGATTGTTCCTGCCCCCTTCCCTGCTAAAGGGTGAATGTGTGTTCTGTTCACTACCAATCTAAACTACGCTGCTTACAGAAAACCACGTAACTTAGTTTGATTCAGCCTTGCACTTTTTAAATGTCTGTACTTAGCCCAAAAGAGGGCATGAAACTGATTTATGTGTACTGAACCTATGTTCTCTTCCAGGTTTAAACCAGTTTCTGATCACTTAAACTGGTTTGTATAATGTCTATCCATAGCTATAGTCTTTCTAATCTGGCATGCCTTCAATACTTACTTAGCTATGCTATCCTCCCTTCTTTCTATAAATAAGTTCGTAAAAAGACACAGTAAAATTGGGAAAGCCTTCTCTAACATTTTCCTCCTAATGTTTTTTTTTTTAATTTCATTGTAAATTGTGATAAACAGTGCCAATTTGTGGAACCCTGGAGGTCCTAGAACTGTTTAATATCTTGCCAGAAGAATGGGTTTTGTTGACCTCAACTCTATAGTCTATGGGACAGATCCTGCCGGCTGAATTCATGTAAGCAGACCTATTAACCTGTGGCCCTGGGCTTTTGACATTGCAAAGGTATTTTTAGAAAAGATTGTATCTAAGCTCTGCATTTAAAAGACTTCATTTCTTAGCTGTACTTAGAGAAACATCTGGTTTCCTTTCTGAATCATTCTAGGTTTTTTTCCTCTAAGAATCACAGTACAAGATGCTGCAGTGGGATGAAATCAGCCACAAAGATTTAGGAGCCTATTTGATCCCAAATCTTCTCCTATTACTCTTCTGAGGCAGAGCCTTGTAAAGCAGAGACAGATTCTGTATTTATTAATGTAGTGATTAGTGCAGTGGTGCTGAGTCTCCAACCTGAAGGGCCATGCCAGTTGCAGCAATTAACATTGCCCTCATGCCCCAAGGTTCTCCATTCGCAATGGATTTAAAATATTATTCATAAATACTACTGTTTTAATGTCTGTAAAAAAAAAAAAAAAAAAAAAAAATTATTAAGGATATGGAAAAAGATAAAGTCACATTTATTTTAAGGTATTTTTAAATAAATATATGCTGAAAACTGACTGTACCATTAATTAGGAAAAGTTAAATGTAAATGGACATTTCAGCAATGGCCATTGTGCAAGAACATATTCTATGGTGAGTGATCATAAAAGCATACATACTTCTAAATTGCAACAAAGTACTTGTTGTAATATACAGCCTCAGGGTTGATATCTTTCTGTGCAAGTTCCTGTTCTCATGAAAAGTGTGGCAAACTTACTGGGCTGAAACTTTATAAAAGCTGTGTACCTAATAGTAGGCCTTTGCAACCACAGTTAGAATGCCACTCCGTGACATTCTTGAGGCATTGCCCCAAAAAGCTGCTAAACACCCGTATGTCCCACTGAAGTCAATGAGAGAACCATGTTCTCAGCACCTTGTAGAAGCAAGTCCCAAATGAAATTCAGTCCTCAGAGGTTCATTTGTCTCTCCGATAGTTAACTTCACTGAGACTTGCAAGGAGTCCAAAAGCTTCCTTGGGATCTCCAAAATAGTCTGACATTTACCCAAACATGACTGAAGGAAAATCACAGTGATTAGTTCCAAGCTGCTAAATAAGAATTTAATAAATTTCAGTTTTCCCCTCTAAAATTAGAACATCATTGTTGACTCCCTATTGATAGCTACTTCCCTTCAGGAATTCAACTGTCTGATTTGAATCCTTATTTGTATAGTAATACCCTGTAGGAGGCTTCTTCTCCATTGTACCGAGCACTCTTTAAAGAGGCTATAAAAAGATTGTTCTTGCCTCAAAGAATTGACAATCAGGAGAAAAAATAAAGTTACCCGTTATCTAAAAAGGTGTGTCCCATGAAGATTACCTAATGTCTCTATGGTTCAAAAAGGGTTTCAATAGGTTCTGTGCCCTAAGAGAAACTGGAAGCTGCAGTAGGAATACTCAACATATAATGAAAGGTCTTTTTTCTTGTATCATGAGCAGGGCTTTGTTTTTTTTGTGTTTTTTTTTTTGTTAAAAAATCCAGAATTCTCTGATTTAAAAAGTCAAAATCCACATTTTTCTGTAATTAAAATGAAACAACACTAATATATATATAGGGAGAGAGGGGGGTGGGGAGAGAGAGAGAGATCTGTAGAATTCAATGTTTTATTGATATATTTACAACTATAAGGCAATTTGGAAGCCTACCAGTGCCTCAATTATTATAATAGAATAAACTCTAGATACCTGTGTATTTTGGCTTTTGATTTTGGTTTTTATATCATAGTAAATCAGAGCTCCCCCTGCCCCCTTCACTCACCAGGACACAAATCCAGCAATGGATGTCCCCCCTGCTGCTTTGTGGTGCTGAGTAGCTCTGATATGCCAGTACCCCTCACTCCCAAGCCACAGCACCCCTGCCCTGTCCTGCCTCTAGGGCTGGGTCAGAGATTGGGAGCTCACCAGGGTGAGGAAATGGGGCACTAGTGACTGTTGATGGGGCAGGGGGGGCACAGTTTAAAGAACCTGGTGGTATGTAGTGGGGGGGAAGGGTCAGGGGAGGTACTCAAAAGACAGAGGATATTTTTTTTTTATTCTAGAGCTATTTTTAATGTTATATTTTGATTCTGTGTAATAGCAGATGAAGTCTGTACTAAAAGAGAGCTATACAGGAAGAGAACTGTGGTAGGGGGTATGTGGGGCAGAGTATGTGTGTGTGTGGGGCAGGGGGTGCACAGGGAAGGGGCTGGTTGTGTGGAGAAGAGTTGGCTGGGGCAGGAGGGTATTTGGGACTTCCCAAAGCTTGACCCCTGTCTCAATGGCACAGGACTGGTTCAGACACACCAGAGCTTGGCTCTGATGACCTAGACCAGCCCCATGCATCAGGGCTGTGCACCAAGCTTTGGCATGCCCAAACCACTCCTGTACCATTGGGGAACACCCGCCCCGCCCAATGGTGTAGCACCACTTTAGGCTCGTGAGAACTTGGCACCTAGCCTTGATGGTACAGGGACAGTCCCCAAGACCTGGCCCCCCAGCCCCTCCCCATGGACTTACCTGCATACAGCTGGTAGGGGGTGGGGGTATCCTTACCTGTCTTCTGGCTGGAAATTCCGGCCATGGTTGGCTGTGACTGCTGGGCCACGGTTGTGGTAAATAATTTTGGGGTATAGCTAGTAATGATGTGCAGAAACCAGACCTGGTCTGTAGCTGCTCATATGGATGGGTTGAAAAAAGAAGTGCGTTTCCTTCTTCTGTTGCTAGGATAACTTCAAATCAAAGTTTTCAGTAAGTCTCAGTTTGCAGCTGAGCATATATAATTCTCTCTTCTCCCACTAGGGATTTGGCAGCCACAGCAACACTGTACTTGCTATGGAGCTGCAAAATCCAATTTTTTAATGTTTGTCTCTTACCCAAGCACTAATTCCAAAATCATAATAAAAATGGTGGTTTATTTTCAGCATTGCACAAAAGACATCTATTCTTCAACCTTGTCCAATTCCTTTTCTATTACGGAGGTATTTCAATCTGCTTTTACAATTTAATCTAACTGCATTTTCTTCCATTGTATGACATTTTTCTCTAACATGTAGTCTTCTGTTTCTGATGGAAAAACCAACCTCTTGACTTTCTAGAGCTGAAGAATTGTTTTTTGACCTCTTACTTTAAGCTTGTGCAGAGCAAAATAGTAACAGAATTCATGTAGCAACTAGACATTATAAAATATTTTTGGAAGAGTCATAAACAAGAATATGCCTCCTTCTGTGAAATGTACTTCATTTAGTTTCTACCTGGAAAAGCTGTTCTTGATTGATATTGTTGTTTCACATGGCAATTCCAATATCCCTTTTGGCACATTGTTGCAGTGATGCGGGGATCCCTGTGTTAGATCTGTGTGCTGCCAAGACTAGATATTCAAGAATATAACTCAGACTTTTTATCAGATACATTTAACATCTGGTAAATAAATCAGCATTATTTAGCAGAAAATGAAGATGTGTAACACTATTATTTATCATGTGTTAACAAAGCAGAAGGAATGAGGGATATTTTAATCGAACAATTACCTTACCTGTTATGTTCCCCCAGGAAATAACAAGTTTCGGCTTGATTCTTGAATTCTAGCTGCAGTGTCAAGCATCTGTCACTAGTATACTTTATTAATGGTTCTAATGACATGGATAAAGTAACAGATTTTCACCTGATAAACTTACTGGCTGTCTTGCTGAATGTTGACTGCTTCCCCTAGTCTGCTTGGCTCCCTTAACAGTATTAAAGGAGCATGTAAGCAGTGAGGAGGAGCAGTGGAAAGTGAACCCAAAAGCTTGTGCAGGAGCACAGAACTGGCAAGGACCCAACGACAGGACCGATGGTATGTCTCTTAAATAAGTGCTTTTTATATTATGGGCCTGAGGCAAATACCATTGAAATGAGCAGCGAAGCTTCCCAGTCTGGGTTCTTTAACAGCAACTGAAATATGGCCAGGTGTGCACTTATGACTGTGGGTATATATGTGTGTGGGATTGAGAAGGCATTCTGGAAATTCAGAATATACTTGATTCTCAAACATTCCTACAAAGCATTTGGCCTTTGACATCCTTGACACAAAATGTTAATAATACCACGCATAACTTTTGCAAGAAAAACAAGTATGTCGCTCAGTACCTACCATACGCCAAGGTTAAATTTTCCCTCTGTGCTGTTAATGCCAGATAAAAATGTAGAGATAAAACCTTAGAGCATATGTACTTACTTGTTGGATCTAATATATAATCATATAGCTTACTTTATGCTGCACAATCATAGATCAGGTTCCTGTGTGTACATATGTTCACCATTGCCAGGAGTGTGCTGGGAATGCAATCTAAGTAAGGTGTGGGGGGGGAGCAGCTAGTGGGTTCATGTAGGGGTTTTGTTGGGATTGGGAGGGTCTGGCAGGTCCATGGGTCGGGGGTTGTGCATGGAAGAGGGAAGCGGGGAGGGCTAAAAATAGCTTGGTCAGGGTGGGGGCTGTGTACCATGTTTGGTTAGATCAGGTATGGGTTATCCTGATCTACATAGTGCACCCTCTTGGGTGAACTGAATTAGATAGGACTAGACATTTTTTGCCTAATTTAACCTCCCCAAATGTATGTACAGGTCAATCAAAGTGTAATATCTTAAGTGAATAGCATGTGTTTTCCTGTCTTAGTTCTTTCAAGGCTTCAAAGAAGTAACAGAACACAAAGTGTCAACTCATTATTTCTCAGTAGTCCTTCACAGGTACATTTTGCCAGGAGGATAGGGCACTTCTGGTATCCTATACTATCACAAGTGTTAGAAGGGTGTGTAAAACTGCTGAAGTTCTGGCAAATTATTATTGTATCTCTGGTCTCATTAACTCCACCCTAAAAATACAGGAGGTGTGACTTGCTCCCTAAAAGAAGAAACTAGTGAGTTAAGGTCAGGGAAGTCCTAGAAGGAAATACTGTGAATAGCTGAGCTCAGAGACGAAGCTTAGCCTGAAGTTTATGATATACTGTTGTTTTTGAGTTACTGATAAAAGTCAAACTACAAGAAGGAGAATGAACTCAAGATCTTCATGCTTTGTGAGGACAAGGATAAGGATTCAGTCTGTTCATGCACATGAGTAACATGAAACTGATTATTCATAGAGGAATAAGAGTGGGATTTCTGGCAGTAGTCCCTTTTCGTCAGTAGTGATTATTTATGCATTTAGAGAGAAATGAGCAATAGAATAGTGAATTTAATCAGACTGGGATTGCGGTCCATTTTGCCATTTTTTAAGAGTCTTGGGGTGCATAGTGATTATGATAATTACCCTGTCTTCGTGAAATGGCTTTTCAGGGTAACTGCCAAGACACTGAGATGTGAACTCTTCTAACTCCTCTCTCGTGCTCGGACATGCTGACACGTATCTTAGTTTTACTCTGACTTGAAAGTTCTGTGGTTGTGATTGCCACAAAAAGCTAGATGTTCAGTAATAAAAGGGAGAAAAAAGCTGAAATGTGCAAGATGGATGGATATCTGTGTGCTTAAAATGGGGGGTTTTAAGTTATCTGAGGTTGATTTGATTTGGTGTTTTTATCCCCTTTCTGCTGACTACCAGGATATTCTGTTGCTATAGGCTAATGTGGAATGCACTAGTACTTTAATGGTCAGAGTTCAATGGTTTCATCATATTTTAGCAGGCAGGAAAGCTGGTCCCTAGCAAAATTCCTTTATCCCAAGGGGCTAGTCTTATGCTGGGAAAAAACTTACCACAGATTCGAAGCATGCAAAATCCTGAAGGCTCTTAAGCTTGTAACTACAAAGAAAAATTAGAGAAACTACAGAGAAAAATTACGTCTAGAGATGTAAGAGTAATAGTAGGATGTAGGATATGCAATACATCATATTCCAGGTACACAGCAGTTGGATACTCAGTTAATAATGCCAAAATATATAACTTCAGCTGAAACTCATTTTCTTTGAATTATTTTGTCTAAAATGACAGGTTTATAAAAACTGAGAATCTAATTGATCTTTCAGTAAAACATCTATTTGTAATAGATGAGTAATAGATAGGATTATTTCCAAGTATTTATAGACTTGTTTTATTTGTTCCTTTTAAAAGAAAAAATGCTTAACGATTTTAAAGAAGCTCTTTATTTTCTTCTGACTAATTAAAGTATCACTAGGCTATCTGCATATTCATGAGACTGACATCAAACCAAATTGAAAGGAATCCTATATCATTTCCCATTTGTTCCTTTAAAAAGAAAAAACTTTAAATTTGTTTTAGATTTTTTTCACATATTTGTATGTCACTTGCTAAGGGAGATGGGGTGGATAAAAGGTTCCTGGGATTCTTGTGATATTTATTATTGGCCACCAGAGGCTGCTCAGAGTACATCAAATACGTTTGATAGAGGATTCTAGTCCTAGTAGTAAAAATAAAAAAAAGTCCTGTTCTGCCATACATTTGAATTGTTTCTCTTATAAAACCCTAATAAGCTCCTTGGTGATCTGTTTTTTATAGCAATTACTTACTTGCCTCAAGAAAGAACCACAGAAGGACAATTCCAGGCTAACTTCTGACAGTCCCATCCTTTTGTCATTTATCTTCTCTCTAGCTTTTTCCTTAGCTCTGTCTCTCTCATATATAAATATAAATAATGTGCTGATAAGTATCTCCAATAACAATAACTTTAAACAAACCTGTATGCATATAATTGTGTTTATAAGCATACAGATTCTTGTTATTGTTTTTTCATATTTCCTTCTTTTCCCTTATTCATTCTCCCACTATTCTATTTTGTTCATAGCGAACCCCATTTTTCTGTTTCCTCCTAGAAATTTAATTTTCCTGCTATTTATTAAAAAAAAATAAAGAAATGACAGTATGTAGCTGAAACCAAGAAATTGGTAACGTGATTAGGGACATGCTACACAAATGTGTCACCTGCAGATGGATATTCTGTTGTAGGTTTAGGAGTGCATTCCTCATCCTGTGCCTCTGTCACTTGGCACTGCTGTTACACGTTGTAAGTCAAGGAAATAAGCTAGTGTGGGTGGTGGAACAATATTCCTACACTCCAGAAATGAGGAAAAGAAAGAAAGACAGCTTATTTTGTGGATAAAGAGAAAATTGGTAATTGAAGGCCAAACAGCCAGTTTTACCACCGCTTACTATATCACAAAAATGCTTCTGTCTGAATGCTTATTATTGTCTTTGCAGATCTCTTTCATATTGATGTATGTGCATACCACATGTGCTTGCTGATGCTGAACAGAGATTTCAAGCTTTTATGAAGTGATAAGCTATATATTAATAGTTTTAACAGAAGACGTGCTAGCTGTTAACATGGTAACACCATGCCGGAACAGTATTTTATGTCCATTTCTGATGCAAGATACATGTTGAATTCTGGGCTTTAAAATATATAATGTGACTGCATATTTAATACTCATATCTGTTTGCTATATTATCTTCGGTAGTGCTTTGAGCTATTGCCCAGCAGTGTTATGAAATGTGCTGCCTCAGACTGTAAACTATTAATCCATTCTTCATTTATTTCATTCAGCACAATATGCAAATGTAGATTTTGCATTGCAAGTGCATTAACTTCTGCCTAACTTTACTTTGCTTTTTACTTGAAGGTATAAAATTATAACTAGATTATAGGTGAAATTTTAGTCATATTCAAATTAGTGGGAGTTTTTCCGTTGACTTCAGTTGAAGTAATGTCACATTTTGAAAGGAAGTTTCTGATTGTCCCTAAACATAAACTAAGTCAAAATCTTGTTATCTCCTTCCATCACTGATCAAGTGAATGAGTGGAAGATAATCTGATCCTCTATGCTTAAAGCTTTCCAAAAATAGCATTAGTTCTAAAGCAACAGTGTCTTATTTGGATCACAAAAATGGAGTAGATTCATATATTTTCACCTTTCAGATATTTTAATTAACTAGATAAAATGCAAAGTGACCATGAAATCAGCATTTTAAAACTTTCCTCGAGTAGAATTGTTAAGGAGATTGACAAGGATAAAATTGCCAAATATCTTGTCTTTATGGTTACTCCTTTAAACTTGCCCTTCTCAGAGGGAGTGCATAAAAGCATTTACCCATAAATAATATGTTATTAAACTGTCATGATTTAATGTGACACATTTTTCTCCCAATTTGCATGCCTGACAGTAGGCTTCCTAAATATCACCTTCAGGCCGATTGGCAAAAAAGTAAACCAACTGAAATAAATGTTGGATCAGCAACCTGGGACAACCACAATGCTCTATCTGAATGCAAGACAAAGGGCTGAAGCTATTAAAAACTATATGGTCCATTGCCATGCTAATGTTGAGTTCTTTCTGTGGAATGGGTTTGTATCTTTGTAAACACATTTCCCCGATTCATTAAATTCTCTGAACAACTGCCACCCTCCCCACAACAATTTCAGTACAGTGGGAGCAGTCATTTTTAGACGTAATTATAAACAGATAATGAGGTAGCTAACTTTCTCACTTTTTCTGAAAGACCTGAGTAGTTAGAGACTTTTCCTTTGCTGAAATCTATCAATAGCACAAAGCTCCACAATTTAGGAAATCAAGAAATGAACAAAACAAACAAATAAAAAATGACTTTGAAAATTAAAAATAATGTTTCCAAAGATACTAATATTTCTTATATCAAGTTGCACGGGTTTTGCCTACCTACTTAGTATTCAGTTTAATATTATATAGTAACCATAGTAACCTCCCAATCAAGAGATATGCAGCTGCTTCACACACTGAAATATTTCCTTAATGTAATATACAGTAAATATCTTGCTAATATTTAAAATAATGGTGTTGTTATCTGTTGGAGAATGCTACATAGGAAGAAAAAGAAATACATATATAAATATTCAGGATTTGGAAATCCCTAGCAA